GTATTATGGTGTTTAATGTTTGTGTGTAACTGTAATGTGCTTTTGTATTAATGTATTTGTCTGCCAACGGCCACAGAGAATAGGTCTCACACACATGGACTGCACACCTGGATTGGGGCGATTATCCCATTCTTCCTGGCAGATCCTCTCTAGCTGTGTCAGACTGGATGGGTAGTGTCTGTGAGCTGCCATCTTCTGGTTTCTAAACAGATGTTATGTGGGGTTTAAATCTGGCCTTTGTCTTGTCTGTGTGCTTCAGGCCAGTGTCTCAGGCCACGTCCAGTCTGGAGCAGGTTTTCTTCTGCCATTCATCGTTCCCTCAGTTCTGACCAGTCTCCCTGTCACTGCTGCTGAAAAGCCCCCATGATGCTGCCACCACCGTGCTTCACCATAGGGATGGTATTAATAGGTGATGAGCAGTGCCTGGTGTCTGAAGTTCTGCCCACAGGCTCTCATCAAACCAGAGAATCTTTTTCATTGTGCTCTCAGAGTCATTTAAATGCTGTTTGACAAACTCCAAGCTGTCGTATGGTTTTATTCACTGTGCCTTCTCTATAGTCACTCAGCCATAAAGGACTCTAGGGAGAGTCCTGGTGGTTCCACATTTGTTTCCAATTCACAATTACACAAGCTCCAGGGAACACTCAAAAAAATAGAAACAGTTCAAAATCCTTGTCACATTTTTATCACAGAGGTCTACAGCCAGTTCCTTGGACTTCCTGGCTTGCGTTTTGTCCTGGCATGCAATATGAACTGTGGGACTTTAGATACACAAGCATGTATCTTTCTAACCTATATCCAATCAATTCAATTTGCCACAGGTGGACTCCAATCAAGTTGTAGACACTCAGATAGGATGCACCTCACCACAGTTTGGGAAATGGCCGGAATACTTTTTAATTGAGAAATTTCAGGTTTTGATTTTGAATAAATTTGCAACACTACTTTGTCATTATGGGTTATTGATTGTGGATTGATGAGAAAAGGCATTAGTTTTATTCATTAAAAAGTACATCTACAACACAAAGAGCGCAAAAAGTGGGTTGTAATAGTTTCTGAAATGATGGCAGATTGAACGTGCAACAGAGAGGCAGATGAAATGAGTTAGGCAAAGTGATGTTGGAGACTTTAAAGACTTTACAAACTACACACTGAAACTATAACTCAGGGTTGGAGGCAGCAGAATACCCATGCACTGTTATTGCTTTATTGACTGTCCATTTAGAACTGAGTATCTGTTCACAGCTGAGATGTAAAGTTGCACTGTCATCAAGTGGAAACTTATGAATTATGTTTATGCAAAATAGAGATGAATCTCTACCAGTTCTTTTCACCTAAAACCTTGTTCTTAAAACATCTAAAGCCCAATGAAAGATTGCCCTGGAAATTACACATATTCCCTCATCATACCGTTTTTACACAGATTTCTAAACTAAACTCTTTTCTTAAACTAAACTACTCTAAACTCATGAGGCCCTAGGTCATGTATCATTTGTTTTTGTGAAGGTCTAATCTAATCCTAATCTCATCTCTAAATCCATCTTTTAAACTAACACCTTCATCTGGCCCTAAACCAAATCTTATTTCTGATAGATATTCTTTATAGAAATAAGACTTGGGGAATTGTGAGGAACTTTTCTGACTTTTTTCATTACTAAAGACATTTCAGCCTTGTAAAAAGCGTTTCTTTACTAAATGCAGTGGGATAAAAATCCCACTGCATCTCTATTGCCCACCAATTTCAACAACAGGCCACAGTGAATCCTTCTCTGAAAACATTTATCACTTGTATATGATTCATACATGCAGCACATTCTGCACAGCTGCAATTACCAGAATTATTCCCTGACATCTTTACATAAATGGATTTCTATATGCTTCTTCTATATGCATTTGTTTATCTTTGTCCTGCTCCTTATCATGCCCAACTCTGACAATCTCTTGTGATCTTTCCATATAAAATAATAGCCTCAGCCTCAGTCAGCTAGAGAATACTGCGTAACATGAGCCCCTTTTACATTGTAACACTTTCATCTGGAATGTAATTAGCGCAGCAGCAAGAAGCTTAGCGCTCTGTCTTGCTCTCAGCCACAGCAGAGGTAACTCTAGGCGGCCCCTAATCCTCAGAGCCTAATGGGATTAGCTCCAGAAGGAAAGCAACCCATGTCACACACAAATACATTCAAAAGCCCAACCTCCCCTCCTCTGTCTCACTATCCATCTCTCTCTCCGTCTGCTTTTTCATGCAATTCCAATACCTCTCTAACAGGATTAGACGAAGACTGGCAATTTCTTAAAAATCACATCTGCTCCACTCACTGTCATCGCGCCGATGATGACAGGATGGAAATAATGAGCAGTGAATTATGACTTATTCAGCGGAGAAGTGATTATTGATGGGAATAGCCTAAATGTAAGCTGGTTTTAATTTTGCACTTGTATGCTTTTTAATGAGCTTTTTCTTTCAACGAGGAGCCCTGGCCAATTATCACAATGTTTTTCTAGAGTTATTTTCAATCTTTACTAAAACAACATGGAAACAGTGATATTTTTAAGATAATCGCTTTGCTACAAAATAACAGCAATCAGCAACATCGAACCAAACGAACCTGTTGAAACCCCTATTAGCTCACCCTAAATAAACACATCATAAACAAATGTTTTACATAAGCTCACTGAATCTTTTTCCAACAGCACAACTGATAGAGTCTGAATCTATTACACTCTCACTGATGTTAATCTTTTGCTTTGTAGGGATTTAACTCAGCTACGTAGCACTACATATACATGAAGTAGTTCATGTAAAATAATTACATCCTTACTGGTGTTTGTTGGCTTGTTTGTTAATAGCATAACTCAAAAAAGTAATGAATGGATTTTGATGAGCACGGCCCATGGAACAACTGTTTAGATTTTGGTGCTGATCCACATCACAATTTGGATAGAGGAATATTTTGTTTATTCATCACTGTTGACTGAATGTGAGCCCCCTTGTGGACAAAAGGCACGGCTGCGCTGCTGAGCACTTCAAGCAAATATGGAGACAAATCCCTGGGTTAGTGGCTATTCATTGGAAACCAAGCGCCGTCACTCAGTACACCCCAACTGTGTGAGACAAGAACTGAAGGAGCCCAGCGAGGTGAGAGCTCACAGCTGGGGAAAGATCTACTTTATGCAGCAACAGCTGGGTGAGAGCCCGACGGCAGAGATTTTGAGCAAGGCTCAAAGCTGTTGTCATTTTCATCCATAGGACTGATATGTCATTTTATTAAGTTCTGACTTCAGGCGACAAAGTAACCACTGAGATTGAAAATATGTAGTCAGGCTATCCAAGTAATGCCGCTTTAGAAATTTGTTCTAGCTCTGTTAGCAGGCAGCTACATCTCATTTAGAGCAAAGTAGTCTCTGCACTCTAACCCCTCTCGGGTTCAGTGAGGACCCCGGTGTTCCAGCTGCACACTGTTGGAACCTAATGAACAGTACACCTCATTTTTCTCACCATCAGCTGGCATATCATCACAGAATGACACAGACTGTCCTTGCAGTATTTTTTGCTGTGTCTGTTTAGAGGAGAGAGGGGCTGTACCCCTCTCACACACTCACAGGTGAGCAGAGGACATGAGGGATCACTCCATAGTGCAACAATCAGCCACTAACAGAGACTGTATGAGCAGTTTATCAAATCACTGTTGAACAACCAGAACACAAACTTTGCCTGCTGGTCCCACTCACTGAAGGCCCTGTTTTACCCTTAAACCAACTAGTGAATGTCTGTCATGTCTATTGTTTTTCTCAAATAACTTTGATATCAGCATAATTCAAATGCCAGCAGTAAGTTTTCATGGTCATGCAATCATATTATGAGGGTCAAACTTTCATGGGAATATTGCTTTTATGGCATTATAGGGAAATGGAGTTGACCTGGGCAGAGGTTGCACTCTGAGTGCTCTCTAGCTCTTTTTGTTTTTTTTTTGTGTGTGTAATATTTCATGCATTTACTTTTATAAACAACAAGCAAATAAGAAAATACAGTATATACCATTAATATAAATTGTATTAAAATATCAAACATCAATTCTAACTTTTACAAAGGCCTTATGAAAAAAGTCCAATTTAACATTTGGTACTAGCATATGTAAGAAAAATAATTTGAGCTCAGACTCAGGTGTGTTCACATGACATAAGTGAGAGACTTTATATATGGTGCTACTGAATAAAATCCTGTCTCACTTTAAGAACAGTCTTTGCTATTTGATGGAAATGCCCTCCTTGGTAAGTTTAAGTATGCTGACCAGTGAGCTTAGATAATGAGGAAAAAAAATTCCACTAATTGGACTAATTTTCAGCTTACATTTCTCTTTCTTGCACCCCCAGTATTTCTTTGTTGCTCAGTGATGTTGAGCTGTTATTTAACTTGACTGTGGTGGTCTGAATGCAGTACAACAGGGAAAGGTAATGAGATACATGGTAGGGCAGACTCCATGTGACATGCTGAGTCCCTGGCTACACATTGTGGCTGCATAGTTACATGATATGCAATATGAAGTGCTAAGCTACCAGGAAACCAAGCACTCCACATCCAACCTGATGACCAGAAAATGACAAACACACACAGATGTGCAAACACAAAAACACACAGCAGCCACAGTATGGAGCTGTTCCAAATCACAGCTCCATCTCTGATCCCACCAGGCTGATGCTCTTGATCGAAAGCCCGGCCACAAAAAGACCCTGAGAAGGGTTAGAACTCTGCTAACAGTCGGGCCCTTTCCAGCACCCCCATGTCTTATTCATAGAAACCTATCGGCTCTCATCACTCAGCAGCCAGGCTCCCCCGCAAATAAGTACAGATACACATGCATGCATACATGCACACACGCGCACACAGACTAATCAAGGAAATCAGGGAAAGTGAAACTTGATGTGCAGAAACAAGCTAATCAGATTTTCTTCAATTTGATGTGTGCTCTGGATTTGTAAGTGTGGGTGTATGTGTGTACCTAATCCAGGTCATGAGCTCCACAGTGTCTGGATCATAAAATTCCCTCAGTTCTGATAACTCCTCCATCAGCTTAGGCCAGAACTAAAGGGAAACAGTACAAGTGATGAAAAGCTCTTAGTGTTCATTAAGGCTGTAAAGCAGAATGTCAACCCTACTGGTAAATAACATCTCATTACTGCACTGAATATAGCAGTACGCTGTATGACAGTCATTTAGACTCTTCCAGTGGCAAAATAAATAAACAAAAGGGAAGCAATCATTTCACTATCCTGGTATGATCCAATTGGTTGTCATTTTTTAACGCAACTTCCATTTCAAGCATTTTCTTTTTTCTTTTTTTCACATCACCACACATGCTTTAAACTAA